TTTTCTGCAGATCAATGAAACTTGATGCGGAGTGCCTGAAGCGAAAAACTCTCAAGGAGAACTTAATTGACGTTTTTTCATGCATTTTACTCACAGAGCGGAAGGTATTTTTGCCTTCAAAAAGTGACAGTGAAATGCTCGTTTAAAAGGGTATTAAAATTCTTAATTATGAATATTTTAACACTATATAGTTATTTTTATTGTCGTTGAAAAGCAGTTGCGTTCACATTGAATCATAAATGCCCTGAAGGTTGTTGTTGTACTGTCAGATCGATTAATGATCAATAATAATAATAATTGAAGTACTACACGCGAAACAAAATTTTTATTTTTACATTCTCACATCAAAAAAATGAGAAGGTTTTGTTTACAATGCAATCGAATTTTTGTAATAAAACCAAAATAATTCCTCGAGTTCGAAAGTAAATTTTGTAGGGGAAAAAAATGTTTACCCGAAACATTTGCAAACTTTACTAAATAAATTAAAAAAATAAAAATTTCGATCAATGCAATAAAATATAAATTTTCATTTCAATTATTTTATCTTTTTTTTGAAAATATCTACAAATATTTATTGTTTTTCTCAAAAATTTGAAAAAACAATTGCATTTAAGAAAATTTTATTAACATATATCGATTGTTCCTTTTTTTGAAAAAAGAGGAGACCGACCACACGTGTAAGAATATTTTTCGTTAAAATATTCAGTAAATTCAATCTGATCAGAATTTCTTTCAATACTCGATTTTAAAAGTGTATTCATTCTAGTAAACACGCGCACATAAAAAACACACGCAACATAAAATGAAAAATTTTTGTGGTTAATTAAGAAAAATTTATTATTAATTAATTATCAATGAATACTGTTCATCAGTAAACAATTTTTATGATTTTCTATTCAATAATACAATAAAAATAATATCATAGGCTTAAATTTAAAATATTATAATTTAACCGATTTTATTAAAGTTAAAAATTAATAAATTGAATTTATTTAGTTTTAATTAAATTTAATTGTTATTTAATAATTAGTTTGTTAAAAGTCAGTTTTTGGATCGTTTTCGGATCTCAAAACACAAATTAATAATTAGTTATTAATTATAGTTTAAATATAATTTAACAGTTAGTTCATAAAATTATAATTAATTTAAATTTAAATTAACAGTTAACACTTAGTTTAAGTTTATTTAAACAATTAACAATTTATTTTAAATGTTACTTAATTAAAAATTATTGATCTTCGGAAGCAAAAAAAAAAATTTGTAGTGACGTTTAATTAATTTTCAGATTGCAAGGTGGAGTCCTTTAGTTTGTGAAGAAAAAACTTTTGGAATGCAATCGCCTACCAAAGTGAATGTCAAGGAGAATTTGATTCATTTTTCTTTGTTCTTCAAATTAACGTTCTTCACTTTTTAATAATATTTTTTTTAATAAATAAAAATATTGTTTAAAAAATATCTAACTTGGGACTTTTTTTTATAAATACGGAAAATAATAGCTGTGAATCATTTTTCAGTCATTCTAGCAATAAACCATAAAAAATCGATATTAAAAGTACTAAAAAAACTTAAATTTTTAAAATTCATAAGAAAATTCTGGATTTTTGTGTCCTTTTTGTGTGCCTCATAAACTATGAAATTACCACAAATTATAATACAAAATCTTCAATTTTTTCAACTTCTGACAATATAATTTCTTTTTAAATAACTTAAATCTTGAACAAATATCATAAAATAATGACTTATAAATTATTAAATGAATGACTTTACTCAAATATTTCAAAATTAATTCAATTTTAAAAGAGTTGCGTTCACAATTTTCGTAAATAATTGAACTTCAAAAGGTTTTAAATTGAAATTTTATAAAATTGCAATTTTGAATGAATTTATAATTTCAAATTTCAAAGGACTTAAATTTTTGAAAAATTTTAATAATTCAAAATCTTCTAAAATTAGTTAAATTTGACAATATATATTTAATTAATTATTAAAAATAATGGATTTATAGAAAAATTTTAGTTAAAAACACTAAAAAAAATTGAATTTTAAAAAGTTACAAATGATTGCAGAAATTCAATTATTTTCAAAAGTAATAAAATTCTTATCACAAAATTCAATTATGTTTAAAATTTATAAAAAAAATCTCGTCAAAATACCAATTATCTTTATAAATATCAAAATTCTTCTACAAAATTAAATTATTTTTAAAAATGTCAATAAAATTCTTGTCCTAATTTAAATTATTTTCAAAAATTTGTCTCATTTCAATGATTATTTCAATATCTCTACTATTTTAATAAAACTATACCCAAAAGAAATCAATTATTTAAAAAAAATTAATGAAATTATATACAAACATTTAATTATTTTCGTGAATAATAAAAATTTTACAGGAATTCAATTATTTACAAATTTTTTATAAGTTTCGCAATCATTCAATTATTTTCAGAAATAATAAAACTCATCGCAGAATTTCAATTATTTTTAATACAATTTTAATCAAATTCCTTAAAAATCTCAATTATTATTTTTATAAATAAAAACTTCTTCTTCCAAATTTCAATTATTTTCCAAAATTTTCCTCATTTCAATGATTTTCAATATTCTATTTTAAATAAATTCTATTTTAATAAAATTACCCAAAAGTATTCGAATATTTAAATCAATTTTAATAAAATTGTACGCAAACATTTGATTATTTTCATAAATAAATAAAAATTTCACAGAAATTCAAATATTTACAAATTTTTTTATAAATTTCTTAGCAATAATTCAATTATTTTCACGAAGAATAAAAATTTCAGAAGGATTCAATTATGTTCGTAAATAACAAATTTATTCTCGATAATTCAATTATTTTCATAAATAATAAAACCGATAGCAAGAATTTTAATTATTTTTAATACAATTTTAATTGAATTCCTTGAAAAATTTAATTATTCTCAAATTTTTTATTAAAATTCGTCAAAAGAATTTAATTATTTAAAAAATTTTTTGATAAAATTCTTTATGAAAATTAAATTTTGAGAAACTTTCAATTATTTAATAAATTATTTATTTTTGTATTTAAATAATTGAATTCTCGTAGAATTTTCTAATAAAAATTGATTTAAAAATGTATTTTAGTTAAAATTTTAGATAATAATTGAAAATCAAAATAATTTTGAAGAAGTTACAGTAACAATATTCTTATAATATAAAATAATTATTTTATCTCTCGAACATCTTCATTTTTTATAACAATTTTTTATAAGTTGTTTAATTTCAAAAAGTTTTGAATTTGAATCTTTTGAAGAATTTTAATTCCTATGGAAAAAATAATAATAATTAAATATTTATTTAAAAAAAGAAGTTATTCATGTTTTTGAATAATTTTGCAATTAAAGAAATTCGTAAATAAATGTAAGAGCTAACATTTTTTTGAGTAAAATTTTTTTCTTTATTTTCTAAGAATTCAGAAATTTTCATTTTCAATTTCAAATTTCAACCCAAAATTTGTAATTGACAAATGGAATTTATAAACTTTTTTTTTTCTTTATTTTTAAAAAACTGAATTTTATTGAAAACAATTGTAATTAAGAAATAGAAATTATGTAAATTATTTCCTTATGAAATTTGAAAATTTTTTAGAAAAATATTAAGAAACGGGAAAATGTAATGTTTTTTTTCCCAAAAATAAAAGAATGTGTTTTTGAACAATATTTTTATTGAGAAATAAAAATTATGCATCAAATCGGTATTTGTTTACTATTTCTTAATCATAATTTTTTTCAACAATTTTCTATTTTTTATAAATGAAGAAGAGAAAAATTTGCATAATTTAGATCAGTCAAACGAAATTTGTTATAGAAAAATAGCATGTAATAAAAAAATGGTTATATTTTACATTTATTATTCATTAAATCATTTATTAATTAAATCATTTATTTCAATTAGGTAAATCATTTTTTTTTTAATTTTTAATTTCTAATATTAATTTATTATGAATCATGAAAAAATACCTGTATATTTTCGATTTATGAAACAATATTTTTTAAAGAAAACAAAACAATTGCATTCATAAAAACTAACTTCATACTGCGGACAGAATGAATGAAAGAATATGAAGATTAATATTAATAATAATAATAATAATAATAATAATAATAATAATAATAATAATAATAATAATAATAATAATAATAATAATAATAATATTAATTATTCGAAAGTATTCTTTTTTTGAAATAACAAAATACAGTAGCAAAAGGAATTCGAAAATTTACAGTACCTATAATAAAATCTCAAGAAAAAATTAATATTCTCTCTAAATTTGAATTAGTAAAAATGTTTACTAATTTAAATTAGTGACTGACTTTTTGCTTTTGAATTAGTAAATTTTACTAATAAAGTGGTAGAAATTACTATTAATTAGTAAAATTTACTAATTTAAAAGCAAAAAGTCAGTCACTAATTCAAATTAGTAAATATTTTTACTAATTCAAATTTAGAGAGATTAATCGTATTAATTTTGCTCCCAAATAAATTCCATTACAAAGTGGAATTTTTTTTCATGACGTTAGTTTAGAAAAAAAATGTTTTTCAAAAACCCACGCGAGAGTAACTTAACATAAAGCGAAAAAAAACAAATCACTGAAAATAACGAAAGGTGTTTGTCTCTTCGAAACGAATTTGATAATTTTTATTAGCCTCCTGCTTACGAGAGCATTTTCATAATTATTTCGATTTGGAAATAAAATATTTTTGTTTATTATTTGGTTCACATGTATATATATACAAACGAAGGCCGGCCACGCACAGTACTTTTACTTCCTATATGAAATCACGTAAAGATCCGTCGTCGTCGTCGTACCCCCAGTCCATTATTCTCCAAACACAAGAAACAAAAAAAAAAGAGTAAAAAAAAACAAAAGTAGTGTGGCAATTCAAGTGGGGGAACTAGATTTTCATCTCCTCGAATAAAAACCTCAAAGGGAAGGGGTAAATTTTCGGTGTATAAAAGAGGACTTGGTTGTTAGTTTACCATCATAGTTCGTCCTGTAAATCGAACAGTAAACAGTTTCAAGTGTTTTTTTTTGAAAAACAATCTAAAAAAAACAAATCATCATGTTCAAGTTTGTGATTCTCGCTGCTTGCTTGGCTTTTGCCGCCGCTGAACCCGGATTCGTTGGCACTCCACTGGTGTCAACTTATTCCGCCGGTGTGCCTGCATACTCTGCATACTCTGCTTATGCAGCACCGGCTCATCTCACCTACGCATCACCGGCTCTTGGCTACACGAAATATGTCGCTCCAGTTGCCCCAGCGTACAGCGCCTATTCAGCTCTTCCAGTTCCATACGCAGCACGATCAATTCACTACTAGACACACTACTAGATAGTAGATACTAGTCTACTAGATGAAAATTTGATGGATTTCATGTTCAAAATTCGTGTGACGACTCTTTTTTTGGACTTTCTGTCAATTTCATTCTATAGACAATTCTATAGACGATTAAGGTTGTTCATCATGGTCTATTATCATATTGGAATTTTATAACAATGGAAAAATTTCACACACACAAAAAAAAAAGATATTTCTGTATTAAATTTCTCGAAAATATTTTCATAATGCAATAAATTTTATTTTCTACCGTATATATCTGTTTTTTATTGTACTGTATCCTCTTGTAACTAAATAATTTTTTATTATTTATAATTTTTATCTTAGCTACACAATTCTTGTAAAAATATCAAAATTGATATGAAAATAGATCAAGTCGATACAAAAAATTTGATCATTTTGGGATTTGATTCAAATTTTTAATATCAATTTGTTGCAATTTGATACTTTCAATTTAATTGTGTACACTGAAAAAAAAAATTATTTGATTCATATAACCGATTAATTGACTATTATCAATTAAATATTAAATTGAATCGCAAATAATATTTATTGGAGTCAATTAAATGGTTCAGTTCATATTTGCTTCAAATACTGAAATTGTTGGTTCAAATACCATTTAATTGACTCTAATAAATATTATTTGATTCAATTAAATATTTCATTGATAATAGTCAATTAATCGGTTATTTGAATTAAATAAATTTTCTTTTTCAGTGTAATAAATAGTATTTATTGTTCTAATTTCAAACATTATTAGAATAATAAATTGTATTCTTTAAAAATATTCATTTGAGAAAAAATTTTTTTAAATCCAAAAATATGTAGCCAACCAAAAAATATGTTTGAATTAATCATATTTTATAATTGAATTAAACATAATTTTTATTGAATCAAACCTATTATTTATTGAATCAAAATTATATTTAAATCAAAAATAATTAAAATTTTTGGCAAATCTTACTAATAAACAGTAATTTAATCATTTCTACTACTTTTTAGATAAATTTACTAATTCAAAAGCAAAAAATTACTAATTCAAATTAAAAAGATTTTTAGTATTTTTACTAATTAAAAATTAAATCTAGAGAGCAATATTTATTCTCCTAATATTATTATAGATTAATAAATTTATTATTTTACAATTGTGATTAATAATCTTATGATTATACTTAAGAATACTTACATAAAAATACTTATGATTAATAATAATATTTATTATTCATAATTTGAAAATAATAAATAGTTCCAGTAAAATATATTTTTTGTTTTTACTTTTTCGCATAAACATATTGGATAACAATATTTTTGTTTTTATTTTAAATAAAAAAATTTAATCTTTATTAAAAAAATACTAACGATAATAATTTTTTTTTTTAAAGTTAAATTATTAAACAATCCTAAGTCGAAATTATTTCTTGATTACAAAAATACTCTCTCTTAAATTTAAATATTTTGCTACTAATTAAAAATCCTATTTTTTGTCATTTTTAAATAAAACTTAATAAATAAAAAAAAAGATTAAAAATAAGTTTTTTCTGAAATTGAATAATTATAGAAGAAAAATTTATACGCTGTGAGCAGTTAAATTATTTAAACATTATTCAAAGTAATGAAAATGTGCGTAAGAAACTTCGTTTAAATTTTATTCCTTCATCATTAACAATTTTTTGTATTAATTTTTAAATGTAAACATTTTTTAATAAAAAAGTTTTTTAATTTTCATTTTTTAAATTAAGTTTGTTACAATAAAAATCATTAAAATTTATCATGAAAATTTTGTTAATTTAATTTTCATTATTAATTTTTAGTACAAAAAATAAACTAAGTTTGTAATAATAGAAATCATGGCAAAATTTACCTATCGTTAAAATTTGTTAATTTATTTTCAAACACAGAATTTTTTTATTAAATCACGATTTTTTTTATTCAAAGAGAATTTTTTTCATTGAAATAGGATGTTTTTTATTCAAACTGCATTTTTTTATTCAATCTGGATTTTTTCATTCATTCAGGATTTTTTTGATTCAATATTGATTTTTTTTAATTTAATATGAATTCTATTATTTAATCAAGATTTTTTTAATTAATACAGAACTTTTATATTCAAATTCAAACAGAATTTTTTTTTATTCAAATAGAATTTTCTTGTTTCCATCGGGATTCTTTTTTATTCTATATATGGATTTTATTATGTAATATAGATTTTAATAATTAAATTTTAAATGACAATTTTCACTTTTAATCAGAATCTTTTTTATTAAATCTGAATTTTTTTATTCTAACAAAAATTTTTTTGACTCAATCTGAATTTTTCCATTTAATCAGAATTTTTTTTATTCAATATGAATTTTATTATTTCATCAGGATTTTTTAATTAAAACAGGGATTTTTTATTCAATCAGAATTTTTTGATTAAATCACGATTTTTTTATTCAAAGAGAATTTTTTTCATTCAAATAGAATTTTTTTCTTTCAAACTGCATTTTTTTAATTCAATCTGAATTTTTTTCATTCAATCAGGATTTTTTTATTTAATCAGGAGTTTTTTATAAAAACAGAATTTTTTGATTAAATGACTTTTTTTTTATTCAAAGAGAATTTTTTTTATTCAAACTGCATTTTTTTTTATTCAATCTGGATTTTTTTGATTCAATATGGAGTTTTTTATTTATTCAGGATTTTTTATTCAATCAGAATTTTTTGATTAAATCACGATTTCGTTTATTCAAGGAAATTTTTTTCATTGAAATAGGATTTATTTTATTCAAACAGAATTTTTTTGATTCCATCTGAATTTTTTGATAAAAAAAGAAATTTTTTTATTCAATATGTTGATTTTTTTTCAAATCGAATTTTTTGATTTAAACAGGATTTTTCGATTAAATTACGATTTTTTTTATTCAAAGAGAATTTTTTTATTTAATCAGGATTTTTTATTCAATATTGATTTTTTTAATTCAATATAGATTCTTTTATTTAATCATGAGTTTTTTATTCAAATCGAATTTTTTGATTAAATGACGATTTATTTTATTCAAAAAGAATTTTTTCCATTGAAATAGGATTTTTTTTATTCAAACTTCTTTTTTTTTATTCAATCTTGATTTTTTTATTTAATCAGGAATTTTTTTATTCAATATTGATTTTTTTTATTCAAAGAGAATTTTTTTCATTGAAATAGAATTTTTTTATTCAATCAGGATTTTTTTTTAATTCAATATGAATTCTTTTATTTAATCAGATTTTTTTATTCAAACAGAATTTTTTTCATTGAAATAGAATTTTTTTATTCAATCAGGATTTTTTTAAATTAAATATGAATTCTTTTATTTAATCAGATTTTTTTTATTCAAACAGAATTTTTTTCATTCCATCTGGATTTTTTCATTCGATCAAGATTTTTTATTCATTACGTGAATTTTTTTATTGAATTGGAATTTTTTGATTCAAACAGGATTTTTAATTCAATCAGAATATTTTGAATCAATCACAATTTGCTTATTCAATCAGAATTTTTTTGATCCAATTTAAATTTTTTTGTGTAATCTAGTTTTTATTAAAATTAAATCTGAATTTTATATAGCTGTTTAGAATATTTTTGATTCAATCTGGAGATTTTTTTATTCAAACAGAATTTTTTTATATTCAAATGGATTTTTTTTTAATTCAATTAAGGTTTCTTCGATTCGTGTTTATGTTTTGAAAATAATTTTTCTAAAGTTATTTTTATGAAAATTTAAAATTTTTGTGAATAATTTTCAATTCTTTAAAAAAAATAACTTGTTATAATTTTTTTGGCAAAGAGCAGGAAATTAAAAATTTTACCTGGAGCAGCTACAAATTTCTTTATATTAGCAAAATTTTTAGTTGTTTCAATTAAAACTAGCTATTCTAGAGAAACTTATCGTTGTTTCAGGTGAAGTTTTTTTTCGTGATTAAAAAATTAATGAATAAACTAATCTACTGTCAAAAGTAAAAACCTAGTAAGTCGCATTTGCCTTAATGGCAAATGCGACTTACTAGGTTTTTACTTTGGACAGCAGAAATAAATTAAAAAATAGGTTTATAATTATAAATAAAAAATATAAATGAGAAAAATAAAAAAATGAGTTTATAAATAAAAAATATAAATGAGAAAAATAAAAAAATAGGTTTATAATTATAAATAAAAAATATAAATGAGAAAAATAAAAAAAAGACAGAAATAAAAAAATACAAATAAAAAATAGATAAAAATAGAATAAAAAAAATTACAGTAAAATTCTGGTGATATTTTTAGTAATTAATAACAAGAATAAAAATTCAGTAAAATTCAGTTGAAGAGACAAAAATTTTATTGGAACATTTTTTTTACATATGAACAAACAAACAGACAAACATGGCGGATTGGAAATTATCTCGTAGAAATGGAATTTAGTGAATGTAGGCAGCTGGATGAGCGGCAACGGCCAAAGGTGCGTGATAGGCCAAAGGTGCGGCTGCGTAGTAGGGAGCAGCGTGGACAACTGGTGCGGCGTGCACAACTGGAGCAGCGTGAAGAACTGGACTCTTCACGGACACTTTGTAGGTGTTGGCGTAGCTGGTGGCAAGTGGCGCAGCGTGCACGGCAACTGCAGGCGCAGCGTGGACGAGTGGCGCCGAAGCAATCACTGGCGACGCCAAGAAACCTGGTTTTGGTGCGGCCATGCTGCAGGCGACCAGAGCGAAGAGAACACACAATTTGAACATTTTTGCAGAGGTTTTTGTTTTTTTCTTGTTAAAAAGAAAATAAAGAGTTTATTATTGAATTATCAACTTTTGAGACTCAGTTGATCGACTGTGCTTTCGTCTCGGGAGTTTTGACTTTTTATAGTTTGTGTCCCCACTATTGAGCGCAAGTCCGGCCTAGACGGGCCTTATACACACTGTACGTCAAAAAGGAATGTACAACCAATCAGGTTCTTGGCGAGGACCGCGGGCGATACATTTTCACAACAATCGTTCAACAGCACTAATAGTGTATTATAAGCAGGGCCAAGGTTTTCAGGCTTTTGTCCGATTTCGCTGCGCTGCTGACCCAGGCGGCCGTCAGACGAGTCTCTTTACTTTTTGATCGCGTAATTCAATCCCAGATCATGAAGGAGAGAAATTTCCGACAGGCAATATATTTATATATGAATTATTATCACTCGATTTCATAATATCATTTTCCTCACATCTCAAGAACGACGCACCTCAATTTTCTACGAAATTCAATTTCATTTTGTTTTCTTTCTTTTTTGAGAAAGAAACTCACGTGGATTACAATGTTTTCTATTTTTAAAATCAAATTCATTTTTATTGTATTAATTGAAATGTAAAAATGAAAAATTATAAATAGAAAACATAGAAATTAAAATGTAATTAAAATTAAAAATTAAAAATAGAGGAATTAAAATATTAAAATGTATAATTGAAATTATAGATTCAAAATATGGAATTTAAAATTCGAAAATATTTAATTGAAATTAAAATACACCTAAAATTATAGATCGGAAATGTATAGAGATTAAAATATAATTGAAATTTTAAATTGAAAACATGAAAATTAAAATTGGAAATTATGTAATTGAAAATATAATTGAAATTTTAAATTGAAAACATGAAAATTAAAATTGAAAATTATATAATTGAAAATATAGAAATTAAAATATAATTGAAATTTTAATTTGAATTACAAAAATATAAAAATTAAATACAAAATTGAAAATATGGAAATTAAAATATAATTGAAATTTTAAGTTCAATTACGAAAATATATGTATATAATTGAAATTAATATTCTATAATTTTAAATATTAATCGAAACTATAGAAATTTATATTTAATGTGGATTTTTTTATTCAATCAGAATTTTTAAATGAAATCACGATTTTTTTTATTTAAACAGAATTTTTTTCATTCAAACCAAATTTTTTTTAATCAATTCAATTAGAATTTTTTGATGAAATCACGATTTTTTTTTCAAACAGAATTTTTTTATTCAATCTGAATTTTTATATTGAATCAGAATATATTTGATTCACACCTGATTTTTTTTTTTTTTAATAAAAAATTAGTAATTTAATATTGTCAAATAATTGAATATAAAATATAATTGGAATTATAGATTCAAAATATGGAATTTAAAATTCGAAAATATTTAATTGAAATTAAAATAGGTACAGTTAAAATTATAAATCGGAAATATGTAGAGATTAAAATATAATTGAAGTTAAAAATATTGAAACAATCTTATGAAGAAATGTAATTAAAATTAAAATATTATTTAAATTTTAAATTGAAAACATGGAAATTAAAATAGGAAATTACATAATTGAAATTATAATTAAAAATATAGAATTTAAAATATAATTGACATTCTAATTTCAATTACGAAAATATGTAAAAATTCAATTCTTATTGTAAATATAGAAATTAAAAAATAATTGAAATTTCAAGTTCATAATATTGAATTCAAACTATAAATTGAAAATATAGAAATAAAAAGGATGAAAATGTATAATTGAAAATTTCTTTGAAAAATTTTGATAAAGGGTAAATTCTGCCTCTTATTGTTGGGAAAAAAATCGTTAACTGTTTCATTATGTATACGCCCTGAAGTGATAATTATGACATATTAGCATTGAAATGAATAATTGGCAATAAAATTCATGTAATAAATACATTGACGCATGAGGAAATATAGTACCTAGCAGCTTTATTTCTATTTCAAGTTTAGTTCAAATTAGTTTTCGAAACGATTTATAGTTCAAAAGAAAATATTTTATATTTTTCAAACGTAGAATGGCAATTTTTTTTTACTTCTTTTAATTTTGTATTTTGTTAATTAAAAAAAGTAGTTCGTTTATTAAGAAAAAATACTTTTAAAAGAACGACAATATTTTTTCTACTTTTTAAAATTATTATTTTACTAAAAAATTATTATTTTATTTTACATAAAAATACGTTTAGATGAAACATTTTGCCTCTTATTTCAATTTTGTTTTAAAAAAAGCTACGATACATTTGCTACATTCTTTAATTTGTACTTTAATTAAAAACATTTTTTATTTCATTTTTTTAATAATAAAATTATTTAAAAAATAAAATAAAAAATTAACTAAGAAAATAAATAAAATTCATTAGTTAATTAATAAAAATAGAAATTTTATTTTTAAAAAATTTCTAATTAATAAACTTTGTATTTAAAAGATATCCAATCGAATCGATTTTCAATTTACCAGAAATGGCATTTAGCAAAATTTCAGTGATTTGAACTTTTAAATATCACAATTTCCATGTCACCGAATCTTCCTTTGTCTCCAATCATTATTTGTCGGAATAGAAATTCTGATATTTAGAAGTTCAACTCGCTAAAATTTATTATTATGAATTAGACTTCTGCGAAATTAAAATTCGATTAAATTTGACTTCTTTGAAATGAATTTTTAAAATAAAAAGTTCATTAATTGGAAATATTTTATCAAAAAAAAAGTAATACAAGAAATATTAAACTTTTTGAAAATATTTAAAAATTCATGAAAATTCATGAAAATTGTGCAAATTTATTATTTTTAAAATACTTTAACATTTCCAGGGTTGCCATAGGTCAGTGAAATGTCAGGAATTTTTATTAAAGTACTGGAAAAAATTGAATTTAGAAGCAGTTACGAATGATTGGAGAAATTTAATTATTTTCAAAAGTAAAAAAATTTTAAACAACATTCATTTTTTCAATAAATTATTTATTTTTGCTTAAAATTCTTGGAATGCATTTTATTACATTATTTTTAAATAATTGACTTCTTTCGACTAATTTTATGCAAATTCTTATTTTCAATATGTAATTGAATTCTTGAGAAATTTTAATTATTCATGAAATTCAATAAAATTTTTTAACAATAATTTAATTCTTGCGAATGATTTTATTAGAATTTTTAAAAATAATTGAATTTCTTCGAAGAATTTTATTACTTTTGAAAATAATTGAATACTTTCGAAGAATTATTTATGTATAAATAATTGAATTCTTGGAAAGAATTTCATTAAAATCTAAAAGAATAATTGAATTATTTCAAAAAAAATTTAATTAAAATTGTATTTAAAATAATGGATATCTTTCGAAAAATTTTATTAAAATATTTAAAAATAATTGAATTCCTGTGAAAAATTCTAATATTTTTGTAAATAATTGAATTCTTCCAAATAATTTAAAAAAAATATTTTTTTAAACAATTGATTTTTTTGAGGAATTGAAATCAAATTTTTAAGAATAGTTACATTTTTTGAGCAATTATTGTAAAATTATGTTAAAAATAATTGAATCGTTGCTAAGAAATTTATTAAAATTTTAAAAAATAATTGAATTATGTTAAGAATTTTATTATTTATGAAAATAGTTGAATTCTTGCAACGAATTTTTATTACATTTTTTTTAAATATAATTGAAATCCTGTAAAAAATTGTCTTATTTATGAGAATAATTGAATTCTTAGAATGCATTTTATTACATTTTTTTTTAAAAATAATTGAATTTTTTTAGGAAATTTTAATAGCAGATTTTAAATATATTTGAATTTTAGCGAAGAATTTCATTATTTGTGAAATGTAATTGAATTCTTGAAAAAAAAATTTGAAAATAAATACATTTTTCGAGGAAATTATTTAAAATTATATTAAAAATAATTGAAAGCCTATGAAAAATTTTATTATTTAATTATTAATGAAAATATAATTGAATTCTTACAACGAATTTTATTACATTTTTTTAAATAATTGAATTCTTGTTAAAAATTTTATTACTTGTAAAAATAATTGAATTCTTGGAACGCATTTTATTTTTTGCAAATAATTTAATTTAATTTTTTTGAAAAATTTTATAGAAATTTAAATTATTATAAAACACAAAGATATCAATTATTCCGAGTCTTCGACTCGGAATGATCGATATTTTCATGTTTTATAATAATATTCCTATGAGTTCTTAAATTTCATAAAGATTTGTATTTGAAATTTTTGGAAAATCTTAATATCTATGGAATAATAATAATGATTAAATATTTATTTAAAAAAGAGTTTATGATGTTTTCGAATAATTTTTCATTTAAAAAAATTCGTAATTACATGTAATAGAACAGTTTTTTGAGTATCTAATAATTTTTAGAGGGAATCAGAATATTCTTTACGGTCAGAGGGAAAAAGTGAAAATTTTGTCTGTAAATCAGGGAAATTCTTTAAGTTTTTTATTTTAATAATATTTTAACATTTCTATTATGATTAGAGTCCAATAATAAGCTTTGTTGCAATTTTTTTGCAAAATTCGTATTTCATTCAAAGTTTTGCAAATAAATTGCGACAAAGCTTATTATTAGACTCTAATCATAATAGAAATGTTAAAATAATATTAATATATAAAACTTGCAGAATTTCCAGGGGGTACTTCTATGGAATTTTTCGACGTGAGGGAAATTAACAAAATTCTCTCAAAATAAATAATTTTTACACGATTATCCATGCACCTTATTTTCTTCCCAGCAATATTGTAAAAATCTATTGAAGAAAAAAAACAAAAAAAACAACAAATCGAACACATTGTCAGTACATATGTTCAATGTTAATTAACTAAAGCCGCAAAAAAATGCTTCTTAATTGTTAAAGACAGTTGTCCCTGAATGTAAAAAAAAGAACCCATTTCGAAATTTTTCTGATCATATCACATGTATATAAGCGATCGTTGAAAAAAAAAAAAAAAAAAAAGTTGTCGAAACAAGGCAAAACTTTCGCGAATTGTTTCACGTCATTCCATGAGAGAATCTAAAGTGGTGCAGAGCTG